ATGGAGGAAGTACACCAGTTTGTGAGCCCAGGTTTGTAAATAACAAAATCCAAATCCAAAGGAGGGAATGTTGTCAGAGCCTAAATTGTGAGCACCTGTGTTGCAGAGGGCTATGGATAACCAAATATCCATTTGCAGGGTCCCCACATGGATTAAACCTTCAGTGAATCCTTTCTGACTGTAGCTGAGGGATGCTATCCAAAAGACAGCATTATAAAGTTGACTATGGAAGATGCCATTAGGTTAAAGTGTGATGTCTTATCATTTGATTTCCCTTTGACCCATTTTAAAATAGTTTCAGTTTAAAAAAGTGAAGGAGAAATACATGTGGATTAAGCATCTGGTATACCCTTGAACCACACACCAGGGATATGAATAGCTTTGCCATCATGCAGAATGCTTTGTAACATGGATTACTGCAGGCACAGTTAGGTGGAAATGTTAGCACCTCCTGTGGGGCCGGCCCCAATCTCAACTACATGGACACCCTCCACTCCCCTCCAAGAAGAATGCACTACAGAGGACAGAACTGAAGTTACAGTTCAGGAAAAGGGGTGCACTTGATCAAAGCACACAGGAGCAAATGAAAAGGGAAGGAGAGAGAGTGGAACATATCCTGGCCCAACAAGCCCCAAGGATGACCTTCCTGCTCAGAGCAACCAATGCACAGAGAGGACCATAGGGCCAACCCCACCAGGAGACATGATATCTCTCAATGACCGGTAGCACCATGGGGGACAACACTGGAGGCACAGTGTGGGAATTGTGCCTGATTTGACCCCACCATCCAGGGTGAAACGCCAAGGGCATGCAATAGAGCAGCAATGGCAGCAGAGCAATGAAGTCTCTGAGGAATACCAAAAATAGAGTTTGGGGCCAGGGTGTGACACACCATCATACCTAACTGGAAAATACTCATAAAGGTCAACAAACAGACCTTGCTATATTTACAGGCTTTTCTTTTTTGTGTGTCATGGCTTTTTGGTTTTCATTTGTTGGTTTGTTTTGCTCTGCCTTATGATTGTGCTTATTATTGTCTCTGCATGTCTGTCTAGATAAGATAGGAGGGATAAACAA